CCATAGAGAAAAGATTCAGAAAAACTGAGGCTACGCAGGTTCCCTTTACTGAAGGTGTGGAACTTGAAAGAACAACCTGCAGGAACACACTCCCTCAATGACTAGGAAAGGCTGTTTCAGGCACTGGGAGTGGCATGCCAAATCTACAAATAGCAATGCAGTGGGAGGGAAAGAAGGGCCTTCTCCAGTTATAACTCAGAAGCCACACTGTGAAGGTACATCAGCCTGAATTTTGTCATGAGGGTATTGTTTGCTATGCTGGCAGAAAAGTCAGTGTAACCAATCCCAAATTCCAATTTACCAGAGCAGTACTACTTAAGCTGTAAACTAGGTGCATTTATCCAGCATCAGTGCTTTGCCCCCAGAAAGTGGCTGCTGTTGGAAAGGAACTTCTTCATCCTTCACTCCCCGCCCCCCCCCCCACTTTACAAACCCTATATGCCCTCAACATTTGGAGGGTCTGTGGGGGAATACCGGGTGGAAGAGCTGATATGAAAGTCCCATTATGCCAATGGTACTCTACTGCTGGCAGAACTTTGATTCTGGATCCAACTTAGAAAAATTTTGTGTTACAAGAGCATTATCTTCACAGCAACAGATCGAATAACACAAAAATATTTTCCCGAGTAAGAATTTTTTCCCCCCTCCACACTAAGCTTTCTTTAGTAATTGTACATTCTTCCCTCTTGCCATTTTGGAACATTAGAACTCCAGAAGGTGGCGTCACAATTTTATTTCTGTACCTAAACCACCTTGAAATAATTTGTTGCATAATATGAAGTGTTTGGACAGTGAATGATACTAGGAGACCACAGAGTAGAACTCAGCATATCAAACACTAAAAAGATTTCAAAGGATTGTTATACCTGGTTTAATACTTTCTGGTCCGGATGACAAATAAAATTGTAAGGGTTTTCCTTGTCAAATATTTTAGCTGGTCATTTCTGTAGTTCATGGAAGCCTAGTATCACTGATTTAGGTGTGGTCTGTGGGATAGAATCTGCATAAATGGCTCATAAGAACTCCATATGCTGTCCATATGACACTACTTTGTTTGATAGTTCTTGGCATAGAATTTTAAAATTATGGGAGCTTTTCTTTGTTTGTTGATTGCTACACTTTTAAAATATCAGACGGTAAAAAGTATAAACCTGCAATTTTTCTGAAAATGAGTGAAGGAGAAAGACTGAAAAGTGAAACCAAAATATATTTTATATTTGTAGCAATGGAGCATGTTGCAAAGGAAGAATTTACACTGAAGAATTCTTTTCTACAAGGCGTTCTCTTGTAATGAGATTTCTCTTCTAGTGTTTTGATCTATGCATATTTTGGAAACAGACCAATACACATGTAAAAGATGCTTTCACGGGAGGGTGATATATCCTTAGAATACTTGGCTGCTTTAGACATTTAAACAATTCCCTACAGGAGATGATGGCTAAGTCATTAATTCTTATAGTTTATTAGAAATACACATAGAAAAATTCTAAGTTTGTTTCATATGGCATTATTATTCATTCTTTTTCACCCCACTTCTCTGTAGGATTCCTGAAATGTTTTGTGACATAAAACCACATAATAACAAAATAACACTCTTTAAAAATTGTATAAAAAGAAATAAGTAAAGAGCAGTCAAATTATAGTTGCTGAATTATTCTTTACAAGATACTGAGTTAAGTTGTCTTTATTATCATTTTACATATGAGGAAAAATGACAGTAAGAAAGCAACTTTCTCAATATAGCACTTAGTTAAATGCTTGTGCATGTTTAAGAAGTAAGTCCCATTGTATTAAGTGATACTGAATAAATGTTCATAGGATAGCAACCTTAAAGAAAGTTCCTGTCTGTGTTCAGAAGAAAGTCTTGTACTGGTCAGCAAAACTTATTTCCAAATGAATGTATGTGACTAATGAGTCAGTTGCTGTTCTGTTAATTCCAACTTGGACTTAGTTAATTTCAACTAGGTCCAAGCTTCTGTTTATACCCAGTGTAAAATTTCACATCAAACAACTGAATTATTACAGCATTTTAAAAGGTGATTAAAGTACTTCAAAGAATATCACCACAACAAACATACAGTATTATTTTTAACCCACACAGGAAATATTTTTGAACTTTATTAGTCTCTTCCAAAAGTGCCAGTTCTTTTTTCGGGGGTAGGGGATGGGGGGACTGCCATTGCTAATCTGTGCTGAGAATAATAGCAAAGACTCTGACAGCTCCTGGACTGAGGTGGCGCTCGCGGGCACCACTTCACTGTTCCTGATTCTTTTAATGCAATTCCTTTTACTTGATGTTAATGCAAATTGTTCCTTACTTAAAGTAATAAAAGGAAATGAAGACACATTCGAAAATGAAAGTTGACTCTAATCCATTCGTCATCTAATACTAGCCTCTTTATCTTTGCTGCTCCCTAATCTGGTTAAATGTCCCTGTTGTAGGATTTTAGTGTAAATCCTCTATAGGGAATAGGGCTCCCCCCTCCCTCTGTGTGAGTGTGTATGTGTGTGTATTGCAATTAGATTATTTGCAGTAAAATAGCTCAGCAGTTTGCTTGTTTCGGCTTAATTTTTTCTTGGTGTTATTATGAGAGTAATTTATAGTTCATGTTGTATCAGTTCCCCACCCCCACCTTTATTTTCATTTTACATTTCTGTTTTGAATGAACAATTAGATTTTCATTAAGCTTGGAACTGTAATTTTTAAATCTACATGTGTTCTTCACAAAGAGAAGAGTAAGTTTTAAGTATCACTTTCATTAGAACTTCCATTTAAACATGTTCTGATGAACTGAAAATTTGGAGCACAATCTCATACATATCTACTCCAGTGTAAGTCTCACTGAATTCAATGAGGTGTATCCTCCAGGTAAGTATGTATAAGATTGTAAACTCAGGCATCAGGTATCTTTATGCTATAATGCTTTATGGCAGTGATTGCCTGGTAATCCCTTTTTATTTAAAAGATTAAAGACACAATTCTGTGACAACTAGATGTTCTCTAGATGGCTGTAGGATAGGTTGGAGCTTCAGCTGCAACCTCAGAAATGTGCTCCAAGTTAAGAAGTGGGACCCTGACCTTGAAATGCCCTTACTCCATCCTCTCAGCATTCTATCTGTGCCAGCTGCTGCTATGAAGTTGCAAATGTAATATCAAAGCCAGTGTGGGAGGGCTGTTCTGGGAAGGAAAGGAGTGAGGCTCAGCTGGGATGCAGGGAATCTCAATACCACAGCTCCAACTTCTATGGAGGGGCAACAGACATAGACTACTGAAATTGGCCTTCCATGTCTTTTGTGATCATCTGGATTCCCATAATTCTGGAGTTCAGATTTGTGAGCAGCCATTTTGGATGGCAGCAGGTAACCTGGCGCCTTTCAGATAATTTGGATTATAATTTGCATAATCCTTGGTAATTGGGCATGATGGGTGGAATTTATGGAAGTTGTAGTCCAAAGCATCTGGGGCTTAACCCAAATTTAACCATACATTTAGAGTAAGCCCATTTAAATCAATGAACTAACTGAAATCCCATTAATTTTAAAGAATCTGTTATAACTGCGGCTGACCAGGCAGACATTTCCTAGAGTTATCTCCTGGAGAATATCAGGTTGCCTACCCCTACAATAAGTACTCCAAAATTAGTTATCTCTCCCTTCCAGCCATATATGACGATATATATTTTAAAGGTGAAGGAATACAAGAAACTTTTTATTTATTTTTTCTTTTACAGGGCCAGTTTTACTGCATGTTTAAGCTATCTTAAATGTTTTTAATGATGCTTTGTTTATAATACATTAATTTTATTATTTTTATGCATTGTTGTAGCACTTCCAGAGAGCTTTGGCTATGGGCAGTATATTTTATTTATTTATATTTTACTTCTATACTGCCCAACAGCCGAAGCTGTCTGGTTGGTTCACAAAGCACATTCAAATACGTTAGATGAAAAACACATTCAAACATCATTAAAAGTTTTAAAAAATTAAAACCATATATTAAACAAGTTAATATACATATTATATAAGTGTGTACACACACAAACTTAAATGAAACAACAATAAAGTCCATTTCAAGGGAGCAATAGAACTATCTTGAGAATGAGGTTAAAATAGCATGCGGAGGAAAGTTGGCAGTTGTTTTGGTGGTTCAATTTGAATTACCAGGAATTTTCCTTTTCTTCTTCTAGAAGTGTGTCCTTTAAATATCATAGGGCCAATAGGAATGGTATAGTGGATGCATGACTGGGTCAGGCTTGTAAAAGTCCACTAATAATATAACTTTCAAATGCTGATGTTTGAGTCTCACTTGGGGCCTGGTTGTGTGTCCTGAGATGAACTCTGCAGCACATACATCTGACTGTGTTCCAGCAGTTTGAATGTTAAAATACTGGAGGCTATGGATAGGTGAAAGTGATTCTTATACCTACTGTATCTGATAACAATCAACAATTGTTTCCTTAGACTTTCTTAATTCATGATACTCCAGTTCCTCAAAATATCTCAGGGCATGCATTATGGTTTAATCAAAACAAAGATTTTAAAAAAACCACAAAGCCACTTTCTGTTCCATAAGATCAATTTTTCCCCAAATGGTGGGTGAGCATTCTATATGTTATGAGACTCATATAGAAGACTCAGAATGACAACAGGAATACCTCTTGAGACAATACAGTGAAAGGGACTAAGGAAACTTCACTTTACAGGTCAGTGGTTGCAGTCTAAAGGATAGATGCTAATAATAATGGTCTTATCTAGGTTGACCTTCCTAAGAAACAGATTGAGAACTGGAATATTAGAGAATGAAGGGATTCATAAGGCTGTTCAACAAGAAGAGAGAAAATACCTGAAGATATTCAGATGGGCAATCTTACTATGTAAAAAACCTGAAACTATTTTTCTAGCTTTAGGGTTGCTGTGTGTTTTGTTTCTGTAATGTTTGTGCTGAGTTGCTTTGTTCAGACAGCATCTTTTCCCACACTTTTCATGTTCTCTCTTTGCAGTCTAACAAAGTCCCAGTTGTGCAGCACCCACATCATGTACATCCCCTTACGCCGCTTATTACGTACAGCAATGAGCACTTCACACCAGGGAATCCTCCTCCACACTTACCAGCTGATGTAGATCCAAAAACAGGTAGGCTTAAAAGGTTATTGTGTACAGGTGTTTGAAAAGTGGTTAGACTTTGAAAAAGATAGAGAATATCAGAGAGAGAAATCAACTAAAGGGAGATAATTGTTTGCTTATCAGTAAGTATAATAAAAGCATTTTTCAAATTGCTCGTGTTGGGTATAACTCCCTACTTAGATTGTTTATTGAATTGACTTAGAATGCTGATCTTAAGCCTCAATTCCATTTGAATGATAACAGGTAAACAGAAATGACTGCAGTGGGTTCTATTTCTAACATATTGCATGGAATACAGGCATTAAAAACTCAGACTTCATAGCCTCAAGTTATTTTCTTTTTAAAGTGTTTGCAATACTATGCAGGTACTCTTTTTTCCAAAGAGCAAATCCTCAGGGTTCTTATTTGACCAAAGGTGTAAATAATTTAACTGTAGCAACAGTTATACTTAATTAAGAAAAGAGGAATTAAAGCTTCCATTGCAGGACAAAATGGTGTAAGATGACCAAGCTTTGACATATTGAATTGATACTGAAATTAGAATTCTTTTTTTTTTAATTTCAGACTCTTGCCCTGATTCTTCTACTTTTGTTTTCATTTTAAATTATGATGGTTAAGTGTTGTCTTATGCTGTCAAATTCTTCTGCATAAAATAAACCTATTCCAACATGATTGTACATTAGCCTTTAATTATTCTGTTTGTAAAAAACTAAAATTCTCTGTGCAATTCCAAACTCACATTCTTGAGACTAACATGTTGACTTTGTTGGAATTATTCCAGAGTGGCTTGCTAACCACAGCCAATGAATACAATGCATAACCTTTCATCCCATGCTCAGTGAAATCCCAAAGTCAAATTGTTCTTGTGCCACAGGATCAGACACTCTGTTGTAACTTTTAACCACTTTTCTGCACTTTGGATGTTTACTCCAATCTAAAGGGTCATTATTGTGCACACGTGGCATTCTAAACCCTGCTTAGATTTATTAGTGGTAAAGTCTAGACTTGACTTATTTTGTTAACTAAAAAAACATATCTTGTTAGACTTTTCCCCTAGAGAATGCAATAATGTCAGTCTTTGTTCTTCAGACTGCACAGAGTCCTTAGAGGCCTTCTTTTTCTGTTGTTAGGCCAAATCCCAGCAAGTTAATTAAAAAGTAAATTTGAAACTGTGAATACATGTCAGAGCTTGTTAAAGAATTGCCATAGTTGTGATTAACATATTTAGATAATGTCTCTAAATTCTGTCTACAATTGAATGAACTGCCATATATATTTTTTTTCATTTGCCACAATTGAGCTTACTTTGGATTGTATTTAATGTTAACTTTGCATAGGTTTAAAAGAAGCCTCACCCATCCATCTTTGAATATTTCAGGTACATGGCAGCATAGTCTGACACCCAGTTAAATAATGGTAGTATAGGGAATAGTTTTTAAATGGTTATCATAAAACATATGATTAGTGTCTGTAGACTGTTTACTTTTCTTCTGCAAGCATTCTTTCAAGTGCACACACAGCTCACTGTATAGTTAAAGCCCTGTTAATCTGTTTGATTTCTATAAATATGTGATATTTTCTGAAAATATCACACAGGAAGATTTAATTTAGAGATTAAAAGCTCCCTGAGAGACTTAAAAAAACTTTTTCAGCTGTGAATACAATGCCTCTTCATTTTAAAGCTGTGTTTTCTTAATTCTGCTTTTGCTATATTGTGAACAACTGAATTCTTTTGAGAACTCAACGCTTTAACACTTACTCACTTATATTACAAACTATAAATATATCAGCTTTTAATAGACCCTATTGGGACAGCTCCAAACAAAGTTTTTCAAGGATCGTGTTTTATTTGTCTTATCTGAAAACACAGGGTAGCTCTTTTCAAAGAGAAACATAAAGCTACACTTTAAAAAAAGTCCACTTTGTTCCAGATTAATGCTTTAGGTCAGGGGTCTCAAACTCGTGGCCCACGGGCCAATTGCCGGGATGGGTGGGGCACGGGGGAGGGGCCCTGCGGCCTTCAAAGCGCCGGCGGCGCCCGGGCTGGCCTCCGGGAGTGACGCGGGATGAGCGGCCCACCACCACCGTGGTGGTGGAATACTTGATGCGGCCCAGCCTCACCCAGACTGCCCCCAGGTAAGTTGAGTTTGAGACCCCTGCTTTAGGTGATGATGTTGGGTGGGTAGTTTTACTATTCATCATTTAAATGCTTTTCAGCTTTTAATGTACATTAAGAACTGTCAACCTAATATATGTTATTCACCTCGTTTCTTCAAGTGCCAGTCATTCTCTGTTGAGTGTACACTCAGTAGCAAAGCTTAGTTTGTCATTGGCTGTGAGGTTTTACATATAAACTCTTCTGCATGCAAAGCCATCCAGAGTGAGTCCATTATTACATACTGAGTCCATTGTTACTTACAGACATTACAATCAGCAGTTGAGTTTGTAGAGGCATAGAGTTCTCAATCTCTAATCCTGTTTGAAGGGTAGAGACCCAGTTGTCATGTTAAAGAAGCACACTCTGAGCTAATTAAGCCATGATTCACTGAGTGCATTTCACAGTCATTAGGGCTGATTGGAACATGTTCCATGGTTTTCATACCCTTATAGACTAGTTGTGGGTTAAACAATACACAGTTAACCTACCATTAGTAGTCAGGCTAACTGTGCCTTGTTTAACCTACAATTACCTGATAATGTCTGTGTTCACACATCACATAGCACCCCTTATTGGCCTAATTAGGGATTGACTATTCAAAACATGTCTTGCACATACTGGGGTAATTAATACATGCCTTCTTGTCATTACATACAACCCTGGTGTTCTGAACTACATATTTACCATCTTCTGACTATTTCTTATATTCTTTGGGTTTAACCATCCTTAAGCATTCTGTATGCTACAGCACACTTAAGCTATTCTATGCATCTACATTGGTTCTTTTCTTCCTACACAAATTAAGCACAGGAGACCCAGTCCAGATCAGGACCCTAGAATGGGGGCCTCTTATCCTTCACACTAGGACTCTGATCCAGATGACATTCCCCATGTTTACTGTTGAGTGGGGTTGGGAGTTCATGCTTTATATTCTTTATATGCTACACACACTATATATATGTATGTATGTTGTTAGGCACGAAGTCATGTCCGACCCATCGCAGCCCCATGGACAACATTCCTCCAAGCCTTCCTGTCCTCTACCATGCCCTGGAGTCCACTTAAACTCACACTGACTGCTTCTGTGACTCCATCTAGCCACCTCATTCTCTGCTGTCCCCTTCTTCTATTGTTTTCATTTGTTCCCAGCATTAGGCTCTTCTCCCTTGAGTCTTCCCTCCCTCCCTCCCTCCCTCTCTCTCTCTCTCTCTCTCTCTCTATATATATATATATATATATATATATATGAATGAATGAGTAGGGTTGGGATGTAGTTCATGCATAACATGCAATTTGACCCTTAGCCGAACTAGTGTTAATGCTGTCCGGAATCCCCATCATAATAGTAGTTTAAATCTTGATGATGATGACTATGACTAATTTCAGTTCAAACTTAACTGTTAACTTTGCATTTCACCTTTGTACCAGGGAAAGAAAGGGGGAAATCACATACAAAAATAGAGAGGGTGTGAAAATCTCTGTCCACTCCTGATCCCAAATTTGCCTAGAGAATGCAAATGTTTCATCTGCTCAGACTTTTGTGACCATGGATATCCATTTAAGATAATTTAATATAGATTAATTTATATATTTCTTACATTTGATCTCTCTATTGTTAATATCAGCACTTGGTAGAACAACCAAATGTTAGATTTAATAACAGGCAGAGCAATCCAAAGTGGGACTGGGGATGGGCAGAGTGGCAGCCAAAAGAAAATCAGCCAAAAGAACTACTAGCCAAACTACTAGAACTACTAGCCAAAAGAAAATCAAATTGTTATTTTTGATCTTGTATTTTTCATTGAAATTGCATAATTGATGAGCCAGTCTCAGAAAAACAGAGTTGGTTTTGGTCCAGTCCAAAGCGGCTCCTCTCCTGTTCCCCTCTGATCAGAGAATGTCCTGTTTTTAACACTTTCTACTTCAGGTTCTGTCAGTGGCAAAGCCACCTGTGATAGCTTATTGCCCACTTGGCTGCAGTGGTCACTCGGCTATGGCATTCTTGCCTGCAGACAGCAGGGTTGGGGGATGGTGGCAAGTTAGGACTGTGCTTTTAGAGTGCAGTTCTATCAGGATTTCCTTAAGCCCCCAAACTTGAAGTAGCAACAGAGGCAGTCTTTATCTCCGTGTCCTCCCACCCTTCATTTTAACTAAATGGGCCTTTTTGTCCTTCCAGCTGGCATGTCCCAGATGGGGAGAGGAAGAGATTGGAACAGTTTCAGGATAGCTTGTCTCCTGGATGCTCTCATCTTGTCCTTTCCCCATCTTCATCCCCTTTAACCTGTCTCCCATCTTCACCCCCTTTAACCTGTCTCCAAGGCCATTTTCCAACCTCAGAGCTTCTTTCTGTGCCAGCTGGAACTGCTGGGGGTGGTTTAGCACTCTAATTTCCAGCTCTGAGCACTGTTTCCAGCCTCAGTGATGGAAATCCAAAATGGCATTTAGCTCCTCAAGACATTGTCTAAGGCCCATAGGATCAATCCCTTGGTGTTTTTTGTTTGTTTTAGTTGTTGATTCATTTGGACTTGCCATTCCATTGGTTTGGAACAACAGAAAAATTGATTCCTTTTCACTGTCTCAAAACAATGTATATTCTATACAGAAAAATAATACAATTGCTTGAAAAGAAGTTTAAACTGTTACAAAAATACTTTATTGAAATGTGTGACTATGTCTCTTTTCAGAAATTCCTGTTAACTCTATTTTGGTTCATTCTCTTAGGACTACAGTGTGTACTCTTGCAACCAAGGTTTTAAAGTTTAGTATGAAAACAAAATCCTGAAGTAAGAACACATGTGTATTACATAAGTTTTAGACAGAAACCTGGAAAGAGGTTCCTAGAAATAGGTACCCACTGTAATCCTAGGTAGTTTATTTAAGAAAATACCTGAAGGTGGCTGAACTAGGAGCTGATGCACACAATAATGTAATAGTAGTGTGGAAGCCTCCATCCACTGGAGCTTTTGGAAGAATAAAGTCCTGTACGGTCTTTGACTGGGGGGAAGAAAGCAGATCAAATGTCCTATTTCTCTGGCTAAGTATTGTTTGCCTACTCTACCAAGTAGGCTGTCCTGGGGAGGCTAGATGAAGGCAGTAGTCCCTATCGTGAGAACAGGAAGAAGAGTTATAAAAGGCAGAAAGAGTGATACTCCTGGTATAGAAATTTCTAGTACTTTATGGTTTCCTTTCCTTCTTTCCCATTTTTTTCTTGGCCTAATTTTTGTGTTGTTTACTTTTCCTCTTCCCTAGGAATTCCACGGCCTCCACATCCTCCAGATATATCTCCTTATTATCCACTATCACCGGGCACTGTAGGACAAATCCCCCATCCGCTAGGATGGTTAGTACCACAGTAAGGAGTTCCATTTTTTTAAATTTTATTCTTTATTTTTATTTTTTTGTATAATCATGCATTTTTGTGTGTGGGTGTGTGGCCGGGGGGGGGGGGGGGGGGCTAAATCATGTTTATTTCCTTTGCCTGAAATGTGTATGTTAAGATAAGCATATTTTCCAGTTTATGATGTGGGCAGATCAATAACTTGGTCAATAAAGATTAAATGAACAAAGAGACTGGTCATAGAGTATTAAATACAAATGGAGCTTTGGGGCCACATTTCATTTGTCCCAACTTCTAATGACCCATAAAGCTTAACTTTCAAACATTATTGTAAAAAGGTTGATGGAGGGCATGGGTGATGAAATTCTCTGGTCGGTCTCACCTGTTTGCTAATTTTGGTCAGTACGTTGCTTCCAGCAATGCTCGTGCAAGTTTAAGAAAGATTGCATTTGCATGCACCTGTAATATTTCCTTGTTTTCGGGGTATGGGATATCATTTCCTGGAAAATAATTATTGAAAAACAATTCAAAATTAGGAGAGAGTTATGTGAGCTGCTGGGGTGGGGAACCACACTAATTTTAACATGTGCAATAATAAGAAGAAGAGGAAGGAAGAGTTCCAATTTTAGCCAGTATTTTTGCTTTGTTTGAACAGATCTAACGACAAAATTACTTATTTTAATCTTTGATGGCTTTGACTTTGAATATTAAGACAGCATGCTATCTAAATTATTTAAGTGCCTATGCTAAAAACATTACCACATTAATTTAAAAGCCCTGGATATGTAAAAAAATTTCATTAACCATATGTATCAGAACTACGGATAGGTATTGAAACTGGTGCAGTATTTATTTGTAATGGCCCTTCACCTCTGCAACCTTGGATATTTCACGGTATTGGTCTTACCAGTCTGAAAACAAAACCCCAAAGAGGTAAAGCCTGAAAGATATACTAAAAAGAAGTAATATGGTATGTAATGTGCCCAATGTATTTCAGCTAGTTGTCTTCTTCTGGAACAAGCACATTGTACACAATCTTGGTTCATTCTACTATTTGTAATAATCCATTGAATGAATGGTTGCTACAAGATAGTATAATAAAAATGATTTCTGGGGATCTGAAGAAGATGACTGCTCAGCTGTCCATAGGCACTGGGCATGTTAGATACCACAGTCTACTGGTACTTCAAAGACTTAACTTGAGTTTCTTATATTTTTACTAGTTTATTGGTTCTTTTCCCTCCTTCTTTCTGCTTGGCCTCATTAATCCAACACTGGTGTCAGGAGACTTCTGTGTGGCAGATTTCATAATATCCAAACAGTCTGTTGACTTGAAAATAGGTGGAAGACATTATCTACTGGGAGAAGTACAAATTGTTTTGTCCTTGTATTATATTGTATTGCAGTGTTGGACAAACATAAATCCCAAGATGTTTTGGCCTTCAGCTCCCATTCTTGACTGGCCATGTTGGAGATTCAGACCAAAACATGGAGAGCTACCCTCTGCACACCACTGTTGTACTGCACACAACTGAAATAAATTTGCACAGTTGGACTCCATAGCCCTTTTATAAACAGCTGAATATAGTTACTACCTTTAAAGCCCTTTTCCTGGCCCTGCAGGTCAATTTTTAATTTTATTTTATAAAAGTGTGGCTTCTAAGGGCTGGGGAATGATACAGTTTCAAAATGGATCTTATGTATAATACACAAAATTCACATCAGAGAAAAAAGAAGTCACTACCATTGTGACCTCTTCATTACAGTTATTTAACCAACCAGCCCAAAGCCTTTGGCTTCTATATAGTAGAAATACTTTTATAATGTCATTTATTGGCTATTTCTCTATCATCTGTATGCCTGTGTAGATTTTGAAGAATTAAGGCTTAATAACTGCTTGGCATTCAGAAACATTTTCGACAAATAGGTATTACTTTCCCCTGTTCTATTCTCATATATAACTTTATTGTACCTCTCATGCAACTTTTTTAAGTGGCAAAGAATATAAACATCTAATTCCCTTAAAAAGAACAGTCATCTGACACACACACACACACACATACATATATATATATATGATCATTCTAACATAAACAAACATAGGATCCACTCCACCTTAAGATGGACTGTGTTTAGCAGAGCATTGTTTAAAGAAAAGAAGCCCGCCCCAAATAAATCCTACCCATTCAGTTGATACATTTGAAGGACAGATGAAAAGGACTAGCCAGCACAGACAAACCTCAATCAGAAAAAGTTGTGTAGCTTTCATGAGGATGCTGTTTTGCATGTTGCTGTATTTTTTAATTATTGTAATGAGGTATGATTGTCTATTGGTTACCCACAATACTTCTTGGGGACTCTCCCCCGGTAACTCTTGTCAACACTTGTTAATCTGACAAAAGGCTACAAATTAAGCTCTGTTAATTTAATGTTTTCTCACCGAGATCTAAATACCGAAAGAGGCCCAAAGCGCAACTGAAGTCCTTTGATTCACTGTACTTTATTTTGGTATAAATTTACATTCATTATTGTTTTCCTTTGGATGTGTAGCCCTCAATTAGTGTGATGGCTCCATTAAAGCAAGCAAGACTTCGCCTTTAATTATTACAACAAAACACCTAGTTTCAGCTTGGGGAGAGGGTCTCTATTGACATAAGCAGAGGTTATAAAATTTAATTAGCCATTCGTATCAGATTTATGGCATTCAAATTGTTCTGTGTTTCTTTCCTTTGATCCGTGCTGTACAATCCCCAAGATTTTTGTTCTGATCAAATGAGAGTAAAGCTTACTGTGCAGAGATATTTTTTTTAAAACAGGCAAAAACCACATACCCTTGCTTTTCTATTTTTAACTTACTCTCTCCCCCATCTTTCTAGGCAAGGTCAACCAGTCTATCCAATCACAACAGGGGGATTCCGGCATCCCTACCCAACCGCTCTGACTGTCAATGCTTCCATGTCAAGGTGAGTTCAAAGTACCTAGGTCCAGAATCAGGGGCATGTGTTAGTTCTGTTTATCATTCTTTGTAGAACAGTGAGGATTTGCTACAATATGCCTTGGTTTGGTAATGCAGTGCTCTTCCTTTCAGTTTGGGGGTGGGGAAATCCCTGTTCCCAGATGACTATTGTTTAAGGCAACTATTGATGCTCAGCTTGGGAAGTGAGTTTATTTTAATTGCTAACTAACTGGGGAAAAGAATCATAATAGCCCCATGATACTAAGAAGCCCAGAGATTATACTCCAACAGGTTTGCTTTCTCTATGGCTCTCTTTTAAAGGGGTTTTCTATGAAGAATGGCAGTTGTAGGCTTTTATTATGCAAGCATACTTGAAGTAGGGTCCTTGCAATTTCTCCTCATTTCCAAGCTCAAAACATTTTTAGTTGACATAAAAAGACCCACCTGATCCTCTAAACTGTGTGTGTGTGTGTGTGTATTCTTTCTCTGCCCAATCTTCAATTAATTCCAGCTAATTTTCCAAGGGCTGCTAGTTTTATTTACAAACTGCTTGGCAGCACTATGTTTAAGTAATCACTAATTGCTCCTAATGATAGTTTTATTCTCTGTTCATCTGATTTTCAGTCTAGTTAATTAAATCGGTGGAGGTTTAGACTTTCCTGATGGGCTGAAACAACTAATCCATTTTGATGATGGCACATAATTAAATTAGCATGCATTACATAGCAAGGTTCCACATCCCCCCCCCCGCACCTTTCCAGTCCCTGCAGTTAATACATGAAGGTTAGATTACAGAGGAGAAAGGACTTGAAGATGTAAAGTGCTTAAAGAAGCAAAGGCAAAAACTTCACAGAAAATTCATATCTCTCACAAAGTTGTAAAATGAATTATATTCTATGCATATAAGTACACATAAATCCAGATTCCTTCATGTTAACCTTTTTGTTAATACTGCATATTAGGTAGGCTGAGAAAAGGCATTTAAATAGAGCTGGGTTTGTCTTAATTATTATTAGTAAGGCTGTTCTATTTATTTGTTTGGTGAGTTGTTGTTTTTTTTAACAAGGGGTATGATTGAGCAAGAGAAGGGGGAATATGAGTTATTTTCTTCAGATAAGCCTTTATAAAAGGGATCTAGTTAAAAAGGGTATACGGCAAATTAAATACATTATTGTGATAATGGGACGACAGAAGTACAAGTCTATTATACTTACAGCAGTTATAGGAATTGTATGCTCCTTGCCCTGTTCTAGCACATCCTTTGATATTCATTCTATTCAGCAGCAGGGCCAGGACTTCTCAGAATTAAGTGATGGGTCATTATACTTTAAACACCATGGAGAAGCCTAGATTGGCAATTAAACAGCACTTGCTGACACTCGCTTGTGCCACTCTGTGACCCCCTTTAGATTGAGATGTTGGAGCTCGGGGCCCTCAGCCTGCTAAATTGGTAGCAGGCACTTCTCCTGACGAGGGCTGGCTCTGAAATCTGCCGGCTTCAAAGGGAGCAAGATCATGTATAAACCATAATGTGGGTGCACCGTGGCTCAAAAAGAGAGCGAGCGAGAGAGAGAGAAAATAAGGCAGGAATAGATGAAATGTTACAAGTGCAAGGGGAAAATGAGAGAATAATGACAAATCTAATGCAACTCAAAGCAGAATTGTTGCACGAAAAAATGCATCCCACTGCTTGTGCATAAAATCAAGGCAGGCAGATGACATCCAGTTAACAGAAACATGTCAACAGTGAAGTAAAGTGAGAGTGAGTAAGAGAGAAGCCCCTGAGACAGCCAGGAACAAAAAATTAGTTGTCCTTAACAAGTTACAGCTCATCATTATATTCTGGCTTGGAGCCATAAAAGCAGACAGGGGTATATAATGAGCTGCTTAGAATTTTTAGGGTGTTTATTGCAATTCATAGAATGCTGGTCTACAGAAAGGAATTTCTCAAAGAGGTATGTGCAGCCTTTATATAATGCATCATACTGTACGCGCTCACACACACACAATATTCATGTAGCATTTTTTTAAAAATAACCCATATGTAAAGGGATAAATGCTACCAGACAAAGGAGATATGCTAAATGATACAATACTTAAAAGGATGTGACTGTTTTTTATTCCATATATAACATTTTCAAAATTATGAGCTAAACATACAAACAGTAATGCAACATTTTTTGCTGACATGAATTGTTTTACTTTGCTAAATACATGCACAAGTAATTGAACACACATGACAGTTTTGCCCTCAGGCTTTTGGCTTGTCCTTCTTGGACATACAGGAGTGCTGGACATGTGACTTGTATAATATACCCTTTTGTGTGTAATAACATAGTGGGGATAACTAATACATTTTAACTGCTTATCTTCTCATATGAATGCAAATACTTAGCTAGATTGCACTTTCCCTTGCACATATTTCTGTCATGCTCCAAGTCGTCTCTTCTTTAAAAATAGCGCTTCGGGACAATCAAACAATTTTTTCTTCCTAATACCATAGAACTTATAACTGGATCTACTCTTTCCATGTCATGCCCACCCCAAAGCCTTAGCAAACTCTATTAACATCCTTTTTCCCCAATTGAACATAACATTAAATTCTAACAGAGCAGCTGTTTCACTAGTTGCAATCAGGACTCCTTTGTGACCTCTTAAAGCAAAACAAACTTGAACTTTTATTGGGTAGACCAATAAAACAGATGCAGTAAGTAGTCCGCTCTTCACATTTTCACAAAATTGAATGCATTTTCTATTTTTCCTTCACTGCAGCCTTTTGCACTCCTCTTTACTTTCCCGCCCAACAAGACATTTTGCTAAGAAGTAACTTTAATTAAAGTAGACTATTAGATTCTGAGCCTCTATTATTATTGCTTCCGATGGCTGATTTTCATGTTGCTTTGTGATCACATTTCAAGTTGGTTCATGATAACGTTGGTATATGGTAGTTTAACACATTACTTTCTCATATTGTAGCATGTTTGTTTAAAGAAAGATATTAAAATGTATTGAAAGAAAATTGCAGTTGCCATATGGGATAGATTTGCATATCCTGTCAAACCACCCTAACAATAAGCCACCGTGAACTGGTTGTTGCTCACCCTGGATTGCCACCCACCTCCTGGGGGACTTAGCACCTAAATCACATTCTCCATGATGATTAGGAGCCGTTTGGGCCTACCTTAATACACTTCATCCCTCCAGTCTCCAGGTTGCTTTTAGCAATCTCAGCTTTGACAGCCACTGGGTGGCCAAGTTCCCAAGTAGCATATTAGAGGGGCTGTCAGTAGTCTGCCACCTGTTTGTTAATCACTCCTGCCCAAATATTTTCTTCTTCTTCATCATCATCATCATCCAATTTAGCTAGAAAGACTCCCAATGCCTGCATATATTATTCTGAAAAAAAATGATAGGGATGCACTTTTCCCTCTTCCCAAGCACCTACAGACTGTGTGCTATCAGGAGAATAGAAACAAAACAATCTCAGAATCCTATTGCTAAGTGGGGATTAAACCATGCTGCCACTTTTCAGGAAAAAAGTTACTTGTGCCTTTGCATTGACAGCTCACCTTTTGACAGCTGTCTAGACAAAACAAAGTAGAAAATAAACCTACTTGGGACTTTGCTGTGTCATTGTATGGTTGGCACCTGTTAAATTTTGACATTATTCAAGGCTTTCCATTTTGGGACTCAGAAAAATGTCCACAATTGCATAATTCCAGTGGTGTAATTCTGGCCAAAAACCTTTACTATTTAATAAATTAATAAACTGTTGACTCACATGTCCGATACATTTTTTAAAGTGTTAAATGCTGACAATTTATCCAGTGTGCCACTTTTTTGGTAGCTGTAGAAACAGAGATCACTAAAGGGGGATGGGGGAAGCTGCCGTAAGCCAAAATAGTTCTGGGTCATGGGAGCAGTTCAGAGAGTCAGGGCAGGATGCCACTTGGATGTAGATGGACAGGTGTCAATGACTGTGGCTCCTGCAAGCTTTGCAAGAATGGCAAGGAATGCTTTGCTGCTCTTGCTTCATGGCTCATTCACCATTTCCCAAAAATGATTATGGAGGAAGATTTAGATTTGGACAACATGCCAGTCCACCATTGGTGAAACAAACCCTACTACAGACTATGGGTTCCCAGGATGGTCTTCTGGAAAACAGCAACAACAACAACAAACAACTTTCCTGGGGAAAGTTGTCTGGGATTGGGCAGTGCAACAACTAACGTGCTTCCTGTCCATGGTGGGTTGTTGTGTCATGCAAACCAAGTCTCCGTGATGTGGGAATTTCCATTTTTTACACTCAAATGTTTTCCCATATAAAGGTACAGTAAAGATGCCTGATACTTTACCTCAATCCAGTGCCTTCCAGATGTGTTGGACTATAACTTACAGTAGGTGAATGTGTTGAAAGGTGTAAACCAACACAATTGAAAGATACAAAGTTGGAGAATGCTGCTTTACTACATGAAAAACCTATTAAAATTGGTCTTGACGATGATAGGAGTTCATTACTCTTTTTTATTATTTATTTATTTATCAATTTATACCCTGCCTTTTTCCTACAAAGGGCTCAAGGCAGCTTACAGCTTACTTTTGAGATAGTAATAAATCCAGTTTCTCACATAATCTTCCTCTTGCCATAAAATCAAAATCAAGACAATACAGTATCTCCTTGCTTCTGCCATACATTTGAAGGGGTTAGTGTATGACTTGGTCACCACATGCTTTTCTTCATTTCCATAGCATTCACAATAATAATTTACAGCTTAGTTCAGAAAGTTATCCTGTAGTCTGTTAGCAATTCCAGAACAAAACAATTAAAATTAAGAGGATTAAAATTAATGTGCCCTGGACAAAAATAACAGAAGGTTTTTCCCTACACAAAAAGTAGTTTTCTGGACTTCTTGATATCCTCTCCATTTTGATCTCTTCCTCCTCACCTGTGTTCTCTTGTGTTCTGGCATTTTTCATCTTCATTTTTATCCTACTGGAACACTTACGTAACCACCACTTGAGTTAGATGACACAGCAACCCATGGTTTGAATAACCAATTTGTTAGTGAAACCTTTTTGTTCTGATGAGTGGGAATGAACAAGCAGGCTGGTTTCCACCTACATTAAAGAACCCAGGGACATCCCTGGATAGTGCGTTCTGGTGGTCATGCCCAGAATTGTGGGTTGTAGGGAAGGAAAAACTTTGCAGTGGAGCACCCCTCAGTTGGTTAGTACAGTAGGCACAGGGAAGCAAGCTGGAGCCAGCATGCTCACTTGCTCCCAAACAACCCACTGTTTATTTAACCATGGGTTTTGGGGTTGTCTGAATCAGCTCCATGAATGTGCAGGAAAAGCAGCTTTTTGCGGGGAGACTTTTATGCAGTGAGCATGTTTGAATGACCTGTGGTGTCCATGGGTGCCAAGATGAATTTCCAATTCTTACCTATGGGATGTGGTGTCATACCTGCTGAGCATGAGTTGTGTCAGATTTCTTTAACCCTTGCATACACGCGCACACTGAAATCACACAAAAACCACAAAATACAGCTCATTCAAAACGTTGGTCACACACATGTTGCATGTGCCACAGCATCACTGTGGACTGAATAACCAATAACAAGCTGATATTTCATGTGAAGTTCCCCCACAGTCAAGGGTTCAAGAGATAGGTTGGGGCAAGAGATACGTTTCACTCCACCTTTGTATAGTCACCAAATTCAGTACTTTGATTTTCACTGCTTTGCTAGAAGCACAGAAGACTTGGGACACTGATGAAAAGGGGAATATTTTCCTTTTGCATAACTCAAATGCATTGGAGGCTATTTATTTTATCCCATAAACATCAATGGAATCTAGCATCTAAGTCAAGCAGCTTTCATAACACCCCACCCCACCCCCCAGGCGCACACACAAACAAATATGTACCAGATTTCAGCCTGCATACTTTGCCTGAATAAATTTGGTGAGATCCACCAAGACCTGGGCTTTTACTGTATCTTCTACCCCTTCACATTAGTGTATATTGGTCATGTGTCCTGTTTCATGGTTACAGTAGAAAATACCATGAAGCCATGGAATCCAGGAACTGGTTTTTATGAGGATGACCTGTGAAATGTTACAAGTGAGGTGTGGTGAAGGAAGAGATCTGCCACTTGCCCTACCTCTGTTCCTTGCAGTCCTGCCCTTTGCCCTTTCCTCCCTCTGGTTCTTACCAGTCTTTCACGGTCAGAAAGACAAAGCATTGCCATTTGAACAAAGCAGCTCCAAGAATTGTTTTGTTTCCTTTAGATTGATGCTGTTTTACCCTGTCTCTTATACACTTGATCTTCTCAGTATGAGGTCTAAGTGTGAGAGAATTGACATATGTATGATGGAAATGGACCTACTACCTCACTTAACTGTTTATCCATCCATCTCTGTACACATGCATGCACTTGCCTTTTAAAGCAGGGTGTTCAATGGGATAGAAGGAAATGTATTAAAAATATTTCTAGGCTGCCTATGAGAGCAGAAGCCTTCCTAATGTAGCTTAACCTATTCAACTATAATTCTAATCTGCATTATTTTACCATTAGAAACTGGGGCTTTTTCATTATTGCACAGTGAAAGATGGGAATAAGATACTTCAGTATCAAGCTGCAAGATTAGCTCATATGACAATCATATGTAACCCATGTCTCACATTTCAAATTCGCCTCAACTCACCCATTTTCTTTCCAAAGATTTCTTGCTTCCTACCAAACTCCCGCTTGCTCATATCTTTCAGTATTTGTTAAACATAATTTGAGTTACAGTGAAATATGCTTGAAAGGCATGGGCATGCTTTTTCTTCTGTGAGTTGCAAAATGTATCTCTTCTCTGTATGATGCTTATTAAGACCATTCCCCTTCCCAAGCCCTGCTTTTAAAACTAATGACTCACATGAATTTCAATTTTGTAGCCACATGTACATTATAGGGCAGAGGATAAAGAAGAAGAAAAAGATCCAAATTCCCCTGTGCTTCATTTAAAGAAAATATAATTGATAAGAACAGCACATAAACTCTGATGCCATTATTTTATTTTATTGCAAATAAATATCAACAAAACACCCCTTAATCTTCAGATTGAGTTGGGGTTCAAATCTCCAAAAGATGGTTTTATGTCATTTGCTATGATTGGGATCTGTGCTCTACATTCTCATAGATGCTCCAAAATGTCATTTTATTTCCTTCCAGGTTCATGAGCTATATTATTATATTGTTTTAAATTGTGTGCTATCCAAATGGTTTTTTAGCAAATAAGTAGTATTATAAGTGTTAATAAGAAAATACATTAATTGTTGTTTTCTGTGAGTGATCCAAAATCCTAAAGTCTTCTGCTAGCTGTGATAATGAATTAGTGACAGTAGCAGAACTGTGATGTTAATTGATCACCAATTATTGTGATCAAGTATTGTTGCCAATTCTTGTCATATGCTTGTCTAGATTTTGTGTGTTTGTTGTATGCCTTGTATTATATGTGTGTACACACCCCTCTCCATACATTCATTATTATTCTGACGATTTACACAGCTTTCTCTCCTCTAGGTTCCCTCCACACATGGTCCCTCCACATCATAGTTTACATACAACTGGGATCCCTCATCCAGCCATAGTCACCCCAACGGTCAAACAGGAATCCTCCCAGAATGACGTTGGCTCACTCCACAGCTCGTAAGTTTTTGTTTACTATTAAACTTTTTATAAAATTCGATTTGATAGATTGTTGGCAGTTTTCAAAAGATTTCTTTGGCACCTTTCCAGGAAAAGCTGTGGAACATAGCAAGCTGCCTAACACTGGGTCATGCCAGTGGATCAACTTCCTCAATATTTACAAAGATTAACAGTGGTATTCAGAGTTTCAGAATTTTTTCTGTACTCTGTGGGGAATTTTGCATGTGCAGAGCCATTGAGCTACAGGCCTTTTCCTCTCTGATGAGTCTTTTAGGCTTAGTTACACAAGCATCTATGCTATGATTATAGACAGTTAACTCACCTCAGCCTTGGAGTTGTTCAGGGTGAATTGCTGTCAAATAGGTTTGAAGAGACCCCATCCCACATTGAAAGTCAGAGTCCCTTTTCTTCATTTGCAGAATGCCTATGTGGGGGAAAAAGAAGGGGGAGAAGGGGGAAAAGATTTGCTGGCACATTGTTCATAGCTATTCACAATGAGTTTGTGGCAAACAGGCATAGTTTTGACTGAGCCAATACAGTGAGCCAAAGTTTGTAGTTGAAGCACTGCTGAATTCCTTTTCTGTGTATTCATGGGTTGCTAATACAACCCCCCAAACAACCTCAGATATCTTTGCCAACCAGTTCCTGATTGTTCAGGCTACAGTCAATATCTGTCATCCTGAACAGAATCTGTCCATTAGTAAGGTTTACATATAAGTATTTTTCCCAAGAACCCAAATAATGATTTGCATGCTTATGCTGCAGACTAAGTAGCATAACATTATTGGCCAAAATTATAATAAATCAACATTTCCACAACTTACTGTGCTAAGCCTCTCATTTCAGAGGCATCACAATCAACTCACTTGGTTTTGCTGAACTGCACCCTTCCGTAAGCCATATGCTGGGGAAAAACAACAGATACGTTATAAGGAGGTAACTGACTTTTCTTGCAGGTTTCTTGGCAGTATCTGGCTGCCTGCTGTTGGAATCGCAGAACCTGGTTCTGTTCTCCTAAAGCTGTTCTTATGTTTCCATGGTCAGAATCAGTTCTACCTAGGCCCAGCTCAAAATATTGTTCACTTCTCATTCCAAAAGCAGGGGATCTCTCTTGTTCTTGATTGGACTTTGCCCAAATGGCTTGAGACCTCAGCACTCAGTGCTAGAGGAGAATCAAAACAGGATCTTTGTAGGCTGTCCACAGCCTTGATGAGGGGCAGCAACACAATACTTGGTTATGTCATATGAAGAAAGCCTCAGGTTCAGCTACTGGTTTCCCTGTGAATCAGAAGATAGAGCCATGCTGTCAGTAAGGTAGCCAGTACTGGGTAGAAGGAACAGTGGTACAATTCACTATAATCCAGAGTGTTATATATTAAATGACTGTGTTGATTGGTGGTCCAAAGCTTGCAGATTAAGGCTTAGAGAAAATAGTAGGTGGAATGCTCTTGAATTCCCTACCTCCAACCCTGTAGTAAACAAACTTTTAGAATTATTCCTGGAATTATTCTGGGTGGTAATGAAGCAACCCTTAAAGCATTAGATGGGCAGTCAAGTGTTGCCTTGCTGTCCGCCTCTTTAAAAATATTTTATTTTATTTTATTATTTTATTTTATTTTTGTTAGCTAAAAGCTGGCCAAGGAGCAAGTAGGAGCAAGGAGCACTTTAATGGTATCTTCTGTCTGCCACTTTGTCTAGCAATAAAAGACAGGAAAAAAGTAGCTTTCTCTCTGCACTCAGCTTAGGAGAGAACTCTGAGATGAGAAGGTTGGATTTTATCAGGATGAGAAACCAGTCTGTTTGTGCAACATAGATGGGAGAACCTAAAATGAATAATACAGCTCTATGACACAAACTGAATTGTGTCACAAACTGAATTTCAAATCATTGCATGCCAACAATGTTGTATAAACAGATGATTAAAGTAATATTGCCAACATACTAGCAGCTACCAGCTTTGGATACATCTTCAGCTTGTAATGGTTCATCTGGAAGCAGGCCTGAGCTTCAAACCTAACAATAGGATACTCTAAACGGGGTTGTGTATATCCTGAACCACAGAACCCCAATGGCTTGCCCATTCATCATATATGACCTGACATTTTTCTTCCCTTAGGGTGCAATGCTATGCATACTTAGGCAGAAAACTACCCTACACCATGCCTATTTTGGGAAAATGGAGTTGTAGGACTTCTGTCTAAATTTGCATAGTATGCCACCCTTTGTGGTTCTTTTCAATAATATTTTATATTTAACTTGATAATAACATCCTTAAAATATTCTAACCCACCTTTTGCCTTTTGGGATATGGCAATAGGTTAAAATATATAAACAGGGCTTTTTTCCTTGATAATATGTAGGGAAAAATACATTTTTTTCTTCTTGTTACCTTGTGGAACACTGCTACCCATCTGGGATATGTGAAAATAATGTGTGGCTGTCTAGATGATACGGAACTGCAGGTTCCAGCAACCCAAGCCAGTATAAACAGTGGTCTGTGATTATGGGAAATGTGATGCAACATCAGGACGGCCACCAGTTCCCTCTGCCCTGATCTAGGTATATTTTGGAGATACCCCGAGTGTTATTCTCTCTTATACATGTCCACTAGAATGGTGGTACTCTTTTCCCAGTCTCAAATGTAGGATAAATAAAATATTACTTTGCTCCCCATGGTGTGGTTTTGACTGTGAGAACAGACTGGAGTAGAATTTAGAATGGATAATATTGTACAAGTTGCTTCTGTTTATTCCTGCCAACCATCCAGAAAACATCAGGACTCCAAAAAAGAAGAGGAGAAAAAGAAGCCACACATAAAGAAACCTCTCAATGCATTTATGTTATATATGAAGGAAATGAGAGCAAAAGTTGTAGCAGAATGCACATTGAAAGAGAGTGCAGCCATCAATCAAATTCTTGGTCGAAGGGTAGGTAACTAATCAGGGTATGTATATGCATGTTTATAAGTGTCAGGAAAAATGGACCTTGATGTGCACCAAAAATTAAAGGATACGGTACACAGGGTGTGTTGAAGGCACTTGGCTACCCAGCAGAACTTGCATTCTTGTTTTTGAAAAGCAGCCTCTCCTACTGTAGCCTGATGTGATTTGAAACTTCATTGTGTTTCACCTCAGCACACAGAGGGATAAGGATCACATCCAAATGCATGTGCACTTCTACAGCACAATCACATACTGCATCATTACCTAGTGCCGATAGGTACATTACCTTGTAGGATGCAATCATTCTCTCTGATGCACCCAATTACTTGCTGTGTTTCTTTGTATGTGACAGTGTAAGTGGTGTAGGTGAGTGAACAGGTTTGTAAGGGACTGAATTAGGCCATGTGCACTGTGGGAGATAAATGCCAGAAGTGCCCATGGCCCAGCCCATTCCTTTGTGCCTCCTAGAAAAAGTTTAGCCCTTGGCCTGAAAAAGGTTCCCCACCTGCATGATTGGGATACAGGAAGGCTATACCCAAAAAATCCATAATTAGTGGTAGAGAGCCTCATGCCAGGGGCCAGATCTAGTCACAGTCTAGTCCCCCAAATTTCCTACATGGTCCCACTCCTTTCCCTAACCACTTACCACCTGATGGATTCCTGCTGCTTACCCATTCTAAAAGGTTTAGGTACTGCCATCAAGAGCTTAAATTTAAAATATGCCAGTAGTTTTTGCATATTTGGCCATGCCTACCACTACAATGCACTGCCAACCTGAATAAAGTCTTCAGAGTACCCACCACTGATACTGGAAGCCTAAGTATGAAGGATGTCGGAACTATAGAAGTTCTTAAGACAGCAACAGTAATTTGTAAGACAGCAACAGTAATTTATTTAACTAGGAGCAATAATTGAAAATTTAAATTTGCTAAACATGTCCAGTTAGTGGGGTCTGAAAGAAGGCAGCAAAGTGAGCTATATGGAACTCCTAACAAGCCACAATATGCAGTTGATAGACTGCATTTGACTGGTTGAGTGACAGACTGTGCAGGTCTGTCTTACAAGCATTACAGCATTGCTGCAGTGTGTGTCATGAATTTTGGGGTGGTTTGGGAGTCATGTTAAGTGTAGAAGGGAGTGTGGATTTAACATCCATCCTACTTCCTGCATGTCTCCTTCAAATGAATCTTGATTAAGGGAGCCAGCAGTTAAAGTGCTACACTTTTCTATTTTAAGAAATGAAAGCCTCAGTGAACGCAGTTGATTAACTGAATCTTGGCCAACTAGAGTAAAACAGAGCGATTAATAGGAAATAACTTGTCTTCCCCATTCATCAGATGATATACTTTAACGGGCAGCATTTTTCTGAGTGAGGGCTGAATGTAAATACGTATTGTGCATGTACCTTAACCTTAGGGCTGCATGTTCAATATTACTGCTACCATGGTATCACTGACATACTGCTTTGTTTGTGGTTCTGTTTTCTTTCTTTCTTCAGTGGCATGCATTATCCAGAGAAGAACAAGCTAAATATTATGAACTAGCCAGAAAGGAACGACAGCTCCACATGCAGCTTTACCCCGGCTGGTCCGCACGGGATAACTATGTAGGTGGCTATGTAGGTGGAATTTTTTTCAGTAGTAGAGCTTGTAGACAAGTACTGCTGTAATCTGCTGAAGTACGCCCACACACGGAAGACAAGCACTACCAATCCGGTAATTCTAGCGGATGTTTTGGTTTTGTCGCCAACCCGATTGGACACAATTGGCACCTGTTCCACTGAGGAGTGTCAGTAGAGCTCTGTGAGAGCACAATTCTCACAGTGTGTCTCCCATCAGGACACCAGCTCTTGTGCAGTTTATCCAAAAAAAAAAAAAAAAGCAAAGCAATGAAAAAAAGAGCCCCATTTCTATTCTTGCCCTCATCTTCTTCCCCATCCCCCCAAATTAGTGCCTTGTTGCATACCTGTGTGAGAGTATAGTGGAAAGTGGAAGAATGGCTTACCCTAGCTTCAGAGAAGGACTGGCAAAGACTTGTTGAAAGTCTTGCTCTCAAGTGGGGCTAAATAAATTATTCCACACTCTACTGGTTTTATATTTTACTCTATTGTAATATTTTCTGTCATGGTCACAATTTCAACAATGCTTTTTAATTGATGGTGTCTTTACCAAATATGTGGCTGCTGGCTTTTTTTTTCATCTAGCCATGTAATATTTGCTATAGTTTCCCCCTTTGAGAGATCCAGAATGTGCTTGGGATTCAGAGATCAATGCCCTGATCTAGCAAGAGAGATCTATGCATGAAAGCAAACTTTTGCATGCATAAGCAACCCTCTCTGGCGTGTTGCCATTGCAAATACATTGTGAATGAGCATCGTACACTGCTATGTTCATTTGAGCCCTGTTGAAGCAGCTGGATGCACCTTTTGATGTGGAGGGGACAGAGACCTGCATTTGGGACCTCCAACTGATGTGCATGTCTATTTGTCCATGTGTTTGACTGAGTTGAGACTCAAGTCCTGTAGACATTAAATGAAGGTAGCACATACTTCCAGGCAAATGTTATCTAGTACTGAAAAGAATTTCCAAGACTAAACTACCTGGTATAATTTGGCAAAACCTGTAATGATTCCAAAACCACAATTGACTAATCACTGAAAGGTGCTGATAATGTAAGGCAAATTTCAAACAGAACTTGTATGTTTTCACTACATTGATACCTATTGCAAGATCATGAGCAAAAAGTTTGGGGGGAAATCAAATTTATTTACTTACTTGTAGTATCTGTGTGGTGTAGTGATTAAAATGTTGGACCGGAGACTTGGGAGATCTGAGTTCTAGTCCCCACTTGGTAACTTTGTGCCATTCATCTCAGCCTAAGCAGCATCTCAGGGTTGCTAGTTATGAGCATTAAAGGGAGCTATGGAAGCCACCTTGGGTTCCTCACAAGAGGAAGAAAGGTGGGATATGAATGCAATGTGATAATGATAATTTGTCATGTGCTTATTTCAGAAATTATTCTAAACTGTTTACAGTATTAGGCTGTGATATGCAGCAAGCACTGAAACTGTTGTTACATAAGAGGCAGGGACAGTGTATACAGCGGCCTGTTAAGTGGATCATAAATCAAAAAGCCTTACAAGCTTTCTAGAAAGTCAGAAGAAGTAGACTTTGCTGAGCCTCCTGGGCAGCTGGATCTTCAAAGAGCCAATACTGGGTAGGGCCTGCATTATGACTCTTAGAGCAACCAGATGCAAGGGGAACCATTTAAGAACTATGTAAGGGAAGATATTTTAGCAGGTGCCACCTTCCACAAGCTGCACCTCTGAAATTTCTCCTCTATGTTTTTATAAACGTGTCTTAGCATACATCCTTCTGTAAGTTGCAGTCTTGTGCAGTTGTTTGTATCTCTCACACTTGTATTTTTGAGGTTGCTCATGAATATATTAGCAAGCAACATGTTAAAATGTTCATTTATTAAAGGTCTATAAGGAGGAAAATATGTGATATCAAAATCCTCATATAATCTCTCTCCCTTCTTAAAACAATTCCTCTGGCCTTTCATTTCCTCCCCTGCTTTTAAGCATGAAACAATAGCTATTCATCCAATTTTGAGATGGTTTTCCTTACATCCCAGGCAGTTTCTCTGTCATTACCAAATGCTGCCAGCAATAGAATGGACTGGAACAAGGCTGTCAGACCACAGGGCCGATTCATTCTTGGTACTCTGCAGTCTAATTTTCTCTTGGGAGTTCACAAGGGAGTAGTGTTGGGATGGGCTGTAATGCTTGAAAGGTTTTCAGGAAACTTTTTTCTCTGCTTTAGTGACTATGTCACTGACAGATGGGCATGTACGGTGTCTTAAATGTTTAGGACCTTTACATTTGTCCTCAGCATGTGAGCACTGAAAATCCCTTTCTTCTCAAGCTAAAAAGGACAGGATAAGAAAGCTGATGCACCCCCAGCAGCTTCAGGTTCTATCCCCACCTGACCTTTAGGGGGAACCTTACTTCAGTAAGAGAGCTCAATAGCTTTGGATCACACAAGCACATAATCTACAAGGGCTTTACTTTCTCTCCAAGCCAGTCAGAATTCTTGGGAGTTTATCCCCTTCCATAGCTTTAGTTTGGACAGCAGCCTTCTTACAGATACAGAAAGCAAAGAGGGGCAGGGTGTGCACTATGTGCAGGGTGGAGGGACTGTATCTCTTTCTTTCATCCAGTATCACACACAGAATCACATTTAGAAGAACAAATGAAGCACTGGAGGTATGTCCACACATTTCTAATCCCTTTCACAAATTTAGGCAAGATCAAACATTAGAAACAAAGTGTTTAGAGTGGGCTTGCCAAATTCAAGTACCAAATTTAGGCTTCATATTTAATTATCTAAAAGAGCATCAGGCACAAGGCGGATTCAGTTCTGGCACCTTTGCTCATCAGTCTCTGTGGCACTAGAAATTTTTGTTTGAAAGCAAGATATAAATGCATTCATACATACATGAAATGTTAATCAAATTCACAGTCACTTCACTCATGGCAGTGCCCCCTCCCTAAGATTAGCTTGATAGCCTGAAGGGTCTCCACCACCCCCATAGCTAGTCCATGCTCATGGGAGCTGGTGACTCTATAGAGATAGTGAATATGTGGGAGCAGAGTTTTCTGAGCTGTTGATAGTTTGGAAGTTGCAGGAGGTCCAAACAGCCTACCCGCAGGGAAGCATCAGCCCTCACATATGATTATGGCACACAAACATGGACCAGCTAAATTGCTGTACCGTTCTGAAAGATTTCAAGCAGGAATGCTTTATACAGTCTTTCATTTTAGTGCCAGGACACATTCAGTTTTTAACATCCTCATTATTCAATCCTTGTGTTATTTATTTTTTAAATCTCAATTGCACTCCAACTGAATGTCACTTTATAATTAAAATGAGCTACTTCTTAAAAGTAGGACAAACGTTTGGAAAAGATGGGCAAAATTAAAAGTTCGAAATAGTTAGGGCTGAGAGACTCCAACTAGACCATACCAGTTAAGGAGGAGCTAGGAGGTCATGACTTACAGCTGGCTAAAACTCAGGAGCAGGGTGAACAATAAGTAAACTATGAAGGCTGTGAAAACTCAAATAGTAGGGCAATTTTGGCTACATAAGGAAAAGTGATTATATTCTGAACTCAGAAATAATGGGACAGATGTGAAGAAGGTGTTCCATATTCTTCCAAGAAAAATGCTTATCTATTCCAGGGTCTGGCAACTCTAATGGAAACAAAATGTTTTTATGTGTTTCCTCTTCAACTGACCTTTCTTCTTGCTTACAAGTGAAGATAGTGTCTTCAAAGATTATCTTAGAGGAATTGTGGAAGGACCTTGCTATTCAGCCTGGTCATTATTAATATTTTATATGGTTTGAAATATAAACAAAATTCTTGCCATGAAGAAAGAGCACATCAGGCATTTTTGGTAGATTAGTTTTGAGGAAAAGATTAGTTCTTCTATAATACTATTCATTTAAAATACCTAGTTGGCCTTTCAGTGTAGGAACCCTCCCTACATAGCCTACAAGAATAAAATCCCATGTAGGGAAATTATTACAATGTAAGAGCAAACAATCTAAATTTACTTCACAACAATTTCTCTTGCTTTTAGATAGTGAAGGCAGTTGATCAAGTAGAAAGTTCAGTTTGCGTATCTTCTTTAAAAGAAGCTCTTTATTTTCCCATCCCCACTTTTGGAAGGATTCATTCAATTAAATCTGTCGACTCAGTTTGCATGTCACAGAAAGTGCAGCCACCTTTGGGGATCCAAGGGACAAACTGACCACCATTTTGATTATATAAGCTGTAGCAGTGAAGTGACATGGACATATGAACCAGGGTATTGCGAGTTGAGTGTTACACAACCTTAGAATAACCCAAATGGACCTCAATACTTAGGCTTTCATGACTTGACAAACCATAGTGTGCCCCTACAAGAGGCTGCATTTTCAAAATGATGGCTGGTACACATCTTAGAGCTGCATGGGTTAAGTAATCTGGTGGCTTATTGTGATGTGCGAACTCACCAATCTCATATCCCCAACAAAATAAATTGTCCATGATATGTGCTTTTCATCAATATACAATGCTTGCCAGAAAATTCAGTTTTATAGAACAACAACTAATCCTGTTTAGGATCTTTGTTTTACATAGTTAAAATATAGCTGTTATGCAGTATTTGACTGAAATCAACTGGATTGGCCTCATTGCTAAAACCGTTAGTGCAAGAATTCTGGAGGCATGTCTTTTTGTATGTTGTGTATTGATCTGTAGAAGCAACTCCAATTCCATTTTGCAAATCTCCTTAAGTGTGGTGTGGGTAATTATTCAGTTGCTGTAGTATTGACATAAAATTCCAGGCAGGTACATTAAATCCCAACCAAACAAGCATGTACATACACAGCCTTCCTTCTATCACCAAAAGTTCTCCTGAACAAGACTTTACTTGTCACATCCAAAACAGTAGGGTATCAGTTTGCAAACTAAATGGGCAAGGATGAACAAGTTCAAAGAACTGGAGACCTGCAGGAGCTGCCTCTTCAAAAGAACATTCATATCTCTTCCTCGTACTGGGAACATAAACATCATAGTAGACATGCTGAGTTAAACCTAAAATGAATCGTTGACATGGGAACTAGACCAAGCTACTGAAGAGAAGACATCACAGATCTAGGAAAACCTTTTTCCCTCCTTCCTTAGGGTCGTAGCCAGATTGTCGCTAAATCCACAAGCTTCCTCATTCTGAGGACTTGTTGTCAGATTTGCACTTGGATAAAAAGGGCATCTGGTCACTGTTACTCCCTTTTGAATTTCCATTAAGCCCTCCATATTAGGAGCACACTGGATAAGTGACCACCATGCTGTTTCTCTACCCAGAGCCAAAAAGACAATAGGACATTGAGCAGCTGAATGTTACAAATCCTGTAGTTGGGGAGCAAAGAATGCTATCAGTTGTTTTTCACTGACCTGTTTGTCTTTTCGTGGTAACATAAAAATAGAAATGTTTCCTTTAGATTCATAGAGGAAATGTGCCCTGCTACAGCCCTGCTTCTTATATTTATCCAGGTGGCATTGCTTGGAAAAAGGTCCTTGCGTAACACAACTTTGTAATCCATTTTCCCTTTTGACTGTTAATGATGCTTTCTCAGACTTTGTACTGCTTTGTTTAGGTAGGGATAGGTGAAATTTCTATTTGGTTTATTTTTTGGGGGAAGATATCAACATTTGCAAATTTCTAGATAAACATAGCAGGAAGATTTTGCAATTAAAAGATTAATAGAGTCTGTATCCATGCAGGGAGAGGACATTGGATGCTTGGGGTTGGATCAGTGCAGATTCAGCCATGTTTGCATTGCTGAATTAGGATTTCCAACTCTTTTCATATGAAGGCTGCTCACTTTTAAAACTATGTAACAGGCAGGTCTAATATGGCACTTTCTATTTCGGTTGACTTGGGCCAGTGCAGGTGGCTGAGAATGTCCTTCTGGAGTTTGGAAGGAGGAGGTGGATATGAAATTATTGGCAATTTTCTTTATTAATGGTCAGAAAGTATAAGTGAAACTGACAGACTCATTCATCCCTACTTTGGGATACAATATATTCTCCCAGTCCTATTCCGAGTGTGAATTAAAAGTGTAGCCTATTTGGATGAAATTGATGTAACAGAGTCACTTTCTACTGTTGATTGTAAATGTTATCATCAAGTACCCCATTGCTTGTTGCTTATTCCCAGTTTTCTGAGATGCTTCTAGTCAGGAACAGCCCATCTTTTGCATACTTTGTTTATTTCTTCACCCTGACTCTTCCTTTCCAAAGGACCAGTTTCTTTAACTGGGTAAAAGCAGTGCATAAACAGGCATTCATTTTCTAGCTTCAACAAAGCACATGATACATGGACACACCTGCCTGCAGGCAATGCAGTTAAGATTTTTTTATGCTTCTTATTGTGAGAGTAACCTCATCAATCCCAGATCCTGCAATGTCTTGTCTTTGTATAACGATAGTTATCTCATTAAGTTTGTTGAAGTATTCCTACAGCTGGAAGAAGGTGTTCAAATTGAGTTGTTGAAAGCATTGTATCGCTGCTTGGATTGATTTTTTTAAAGAAGTGTTCAAATCTAGGAAGTTTTACAGAACAGTCCTTTCCCTTGTATCCTTCTGAAAGAAAGTTTTGTAATTATCCTTTCATGTATTTATGTTTTATTCAGGGCAAGAAGAAGAAGAGGAAAAGGGACAAGCAGCCAGGAGAAACAAATGGTAAGTAAAATGTGTTATTTATTCCTTAGTGGAATAATGGAGGTGATAAGTTCTTACTCACGTTTATTAAGAAGAAAGTTAGAAATCTCTTACTCTTTCTTGCAACAGGGCCACTTCTAGATCCAGCTTTTTCCTGTTGGATGTTAAATACACTAAAAATAAAATCTTATTGCCTGCTTTTTAAAATGTGTAGCCCAAAAAATGCATGAATAGCATATTGGAATGTTAGCCATGTTTGTCCTTAAAAACTGCAAAGCCATTCACTGTAGAGCCATAGTTGGTGAATGCTATGCCATTTCTATCAAAAGGGTGTGTCTGAGCACGTGTGCGAGTATGCATGTGTGTGAGCTTGGTATTAATCTGGGCTGTATCTGTGTGTTCTGATGCATGCCTTTACAGTGGTAAATTGCAGCCATTTTTTTTTTAATTAAGGAGGTTTGCCATTCTCTAGAAAATTAGAAATACTGCATAGGCAATCTCATAGTCAATTTTGCAAAAGCCCTGATTAATTTTTTTCTTTGAAGCCTTTGTATAATTTGTTCTTTTTTTTCAGAACACAGCGAATGTTTCCTAAATCCTTGCCTTTCACTTCCTCCGATTACAGGTGCTAATGTCATTTTCAGCCATTTAAAATAGTTTTGTAAATTGCTTTTAATTTATTTTTATCCTGCCATTTTAGATTTTATTAACATTTAAACACTGACATTAAAAATAAACTTATCATTCACACGTTTGTAGCATACATATATATTTATAATGTGCTATTATTTATTTATTTTGTTTGTTTCTGATTTGTTATTCATTACAGTTGCGATTAAACAGTAATGCAGTAAAAATAACTCAGTTTTACTAACTGTGCAAATTGAATATGCAGTATTTCTTTAAAGAGACTGATATAAACTGGAAGAAACTTAATAATGAACCTCCTTAATCTAATGGCATTTAATGCGGCACCCACTAAGTCTTCTCATGCCAGCATGCAATCACATTTTGTTTTGACATTTCTACTCAAACATACCCATGGCTGTTCACCCGCTTTACTTGCATACTGCTTGCTTCCACGCTTCTGATCATTTTATTTCTGGCTGAAACTAACATGTCAGTTTTGCTATCTGCTAGTTCTGAGCCATTTCTTCTTTTTTAAATTAAAAAAAATACAAATGGAATGTTTATTCCCAAAGCTGCATTATCCCAAAAAAGAAAAAAAAAAGACAATTTTCTTTTACTGTTTTTTGGTTAAGTCTGAAGAGGAAAACATGTTAGAGATTTCCACACTGAGCTCTTTTTCCTCCTCCTTTTTCTTTTAAGAAGTAAGTATCTATACCAACAACGCAGTCCACCAAGCACTGTCTCCACACAACCCTTTTGCCTTTCTCTGGGGCTTGTGCAGGAACTATTGATGGGCTGTGCCTGCAGTGCCTCTTAAATCAATTGCAACTTTCTGCTCTATTGTTTTGTTTCCTTTTTCTAAAGACAGTCATTCCAAAGGGATACTGCAGCTTTAATTGCAACAGCTAATTTCAAACGTTTGATAGATGTGATAATCACTATTTTAAAAATAAAACAATCAAAAGTTGATATTTTGCAGTTAATAATGAGGTCATTGATTTTTATTTCCTTTTTATTTTTATTTTTTATTTTTTCTTATTTTTTGTTTTTTCTCTTGCTCTCTCTCTCTCTCTCTCTTTCTCTCTCTCTCTCTCTTTTTCTTTTCTGCTCGCTTCTTTCTTGACCTCATTCAGACCTGAGCGCTCCTAAGAAATGCCGAGCGCGCTTTGGCCTTGATCAACAGAATAACTGGTGCGGTCCCTGCAGGTGTGTATAGTCTTCCCCCGACTTGCTATGGCTGGTTTTGCAGCTGGTTTATTTGGTACTTCCCCTGCCCCTCCCTCTTCTCCTGCTTTGTTGCTTTTGTAGCTCTGTGTTGTGATCTAGGAGACACAAGGGAGTGGGACGCTACTGTGAATGATCATCTCTTTCTGTTTAAAGGATTTTGCTCTTTTTTCCCCTCATTTTTGTTTCCTCCACCCACCTCCTCACTGCCGCTAGCTGAAAAATTCCCACTGTTAAGACAGCATCAGCCTAGACCTGCACACACAATCCCGTCCTCCTCTCTGGAAAGTTGCATAACTTTTTATAAAACATTGCCAAACATCCTTTGATATCGCAGTGCAGAATTCAACAGGAAAGACACAGGGCTAAGTTGAGGGAATGCACAGCAGGCTCAGGCATTGTAGGTGTGTGTCGCCTTGCAGAGATCTTCTTTCTTCCATGCCCTTTGGTCTGAGAGATTGCCAATGAACTGAGAGAAATGTTAGCTATAGCTAAGATTTCACATCCAACTGAGCTCTATCCACCATTGTGTTGTATTTTTTTGTGTTTACCTTGTGCTAACAGATGCAAATACTCCAAAGAAGTGTCGGGCATTGTTCGGGCTTGACCGACAGAGTTTATGGTGCAAACCGTGCAGGTATACTACCCATTAGGCCTTTGGGGAGCTAAAAATATTCTGTCATCTTAGTGTTACGTGTGTGGTTTATTTTTTAACCCCTTCCCTCCCTTCCACTTCCTGCCTTCCTTACTTCTACAACATCAATTGCTAATAAATTTTGATCTTCAAAATTCTTTGCTAATTCAATGCAAATTTCTTTTCTTGACCAATGAGCACTCCTTTGGTAGTCGAATTGGGGATTGGTGCACACACACACACACACACACACACACGTGTACACACACACACACACCCCGATAGGAAATAACATATTTGGTCATGTTCATGTGTTAAGTGGCCATTGGCACAAGCCCCTATGTATGTTCCTACAGTCTAGTCACTTGCAGGATTTTCACCATGACGAAAGAGGATGTCAATTAGAATGTCTGTCACTCATAACGTTGGATCCATAATGAACTGTGAATGGGCATCCCCTTGCAGAATAGGGGTCTTCTGCCTCCTCCCTCCTTCTGCAACCTTCTCTGCTTTCACTGAAATACAGTGCAAGGGGGCTACAGCTATGAGGGGGTAATTGCACAAGTGGAAGTACATTTCTGCTTTGATCCAAGTTATTACACATTTAAGTCTATTAATTCATCAGTCACTCTTTTGCTTCTGAAAATCTATTTGGTACCTGGAGGAAATTTTTGGAATCTTTGGTACACTTGTTACTAGTCTATTAAGTTCACATCTCCTGGACAAGTTATTCATGATTTAATCATATTATAGGACATTGGTCCACATTCCTCAAATTATACATTAATGGCACCAAACATCCTATGTTCTACTGCTGGTTTAAGTGGAACATAATGATAAATTCTGTAGACACTTGTTTCTTGGTGAAGGGAAGCAAACAATATCATTTTCTTTTTGCATTCTTTTTCCCTTACTATGGTTAAATTTGTTATTTCTCTGTTCTGATCCAAGCAGTCTTTGAATTTGGAATATTATGATGGTAGGTATTTCAATCCAACACACACTTTCTTCTGTATGTAGTGCTTCCCCCCTCACCTTTCCTCCTGATTCACACCCATGCCATGTGCTTCATTCCTTTTTTTAGAATGTAGAACAGTAATTCATATTATATGCATGCTGGTTCTATTAGTTTTGTGATGCTAAGCTCTCACATGGGTTTAAAGTGTACATCTGATTGTTAGATAAAGTCCATGCATTGTCCTTGAAGGGCTGCATTTTGCCTAAACCCTGTGACCTCCCATCAGATGCATGCTTAAGCACTGTGATTTGTGTGACAGGAGAAATAATGATAGCAGGGGTTCTTGCCAATACAGATATCAAATACCTTTCAGAAAGTACAATAGAACAGTTAGATGAGACTACTTGATTGACTCTTAATTCCAGTATCAGTGTGGCTCAGTCTGTTTAATTAGCCTGATCTGGCAGTTATTTTAGTACCTGGAGCTACTACTTATGTGACCTTTGGGTAGTTGTTTTTATGTTTGTCAAACTTAGCATGCTGATTCAGTGTTAGAGCTAGGCCCTAAATCCCTAGTGAGCCAAAGGGTCTATGTGAATTGAGAAAGCCCAGCAATTGGCTCCACCCATTTGGTTCCCAGCCACCCAAGGAAGGTACTGGCTTCCCAGCTACCTGCTTGAAGCATAAACACTAACAGAGGCTTTGGCGGAGGTCCTCCTTGGGGTACCTCAGCGACTCACTGCCACATTTGCCTATGCACACCAAAGAGCTTGGCTCTAGAGCTACTGTTCTCATTGGCGGCTTTTTAAGTGTTCCTTGGCTTGTGAAGAACCAGCTAAGGTGTCTAGCCTGGCATGGGATGCAGATGAGACTAGGAGCTAACTTGGGAGCAAGATATGAGGCCTCTGGGTTTCAGAGCTTGCTTCAAATCTCCAGCTGCTTGTCCCTATTGCAATTTATATATGCAGCTTTCATTAACTATCCATTCTGCTATTCTGAAGTTGCATTTGTTTTATACTTAAATGAGAGGAGGAGCCTCTGTCTGAGCTCGAATATTTCCATTAAATCCTTCAATGATGTATGCTAAGAAGGGAAATTACTTTCTTATAGCATTTCGGTTTAGTTAAAAAAAACATTTTGAAACTACAGAACATGCAGATTAGCTCTTCAAGGTGCATTTGTTAGTTTGTTTGCTGCAATAAGAATTAATAGATTGCACACTTGTTAACAGTGCAGGGTTGCATATTGAAGCAGATAATAAAACAACGTGGGTAACTGCACCCCACACAGCAGAGGCGTCTTGATTTTTGCCACTAACCATTTCTTGGCAGTGCTTTCAAGGCTGTTTTGCTGACAGTAAAACTAAGGACAGGCAGCTACTGTGATACTATTACAGAGTCCTTAATATTCCAAATAACATATCAGTTGCTGTTGATAAGTGAATACCACTGCTGTATTTCATCAGTGCATCATTGGGAGGGCATTACTGCCTCATCCACAGAATTCAGAACTTTAAAGTTAATTCAGTTAGGAATAGACATTAGACAAACTGCATTTCTCCAGCTGTTACCAGTGCTGCTGTAGTAAGGTTGACTATTTGGCAATTGCAGTGCCTTCAATTTTAAATTTCTGATTTTATTTCACTTTAGGTCTTTTGCAGCAGATTGAAGGTTATTAACAAGACATTTATGTATTAACAAGACATCTTCAGAGACACACTGATGATCTCTTTAAATATGTTTCTCAGCTAAATAATGTAGCCATGTTCTTCCAGCTCACAAGTACAAAAAGGGGGCTCAATGTCTTAGCTGTAGCAGTGCTCATATTTTACAGTTTGGTGGCTGTTCTGTCTAAGCACAGAAGCTGGTGTTGGATATTGAATGAAACATTCTAAAAACCTCTGCTTCCATTTATACAATAAAGCAAGTTCCTAGTCCATAAGGCTATGAAGATAAGGTTGAAATCAAGGCCTACATTTTGATCTCTCAGTTGTTGAGACGATGGCCTAACCAAAATATCCAATGATTATGAGGCTGAACATGTATTACTAACAAAACAAACAATTAAAAAGGTGAATGTATGTACATTTCCCTCTCTCTCTTTCTCACACACACACACACACACACACACACACACTTTTCTCAACACACAGTTTTAGGGGCAAACAGTACAGAACTCTAGGCTTCTCAATTCTTTATGTGACCAGGGAAAACGTGTCTCTTATTGATGACTATCTACTATTTATACCTAATCTTATAGATTGGATGAGTAGCAGTATTGCACATGCACTACACAGATCAGTTCCTGCTGCCTTTTATGTCAGAGACTGGTTTGCCTCAGTCAAATGATTCCCATTTTGAAGTGGCTTTTAGAATGGAATGGCAGCAAGCCGACAACCACTGAATGCTTGCAATGATTGTGTCCTGCTCATGCTACCTTTTGCCATAATGTGCTCTAGCTTTGCTTGGTCAAACATTGCAATTAAAAACTTAAATGATAAAGAAAAGTGGGTGGAGGAAACTGAATTTGATTATGGTCCTATTAAATATGAAATTCTCAATGCAGAATTGTATATTGAGTTAGGTTCCTGTAGGCTTGCTGTTGTAGATTATACCTGTGAACACCAAGTTTCTTAGCAGGGAGATGCTTCTGTGGAATTCAGGTGGGGCGGGAGGAGTTATCCTGTCCATCAATCCATAAAGTGTATGCATGTGCCCACATACCCCTTTACCCTTTGTGCTCATGGCCTGCCAAAGCTTCCCACCAACAGCATAAGGTCCCCATGTTATTTACTGGTATAGCTTACTGTAATACTAAGAAATTGTCACTTTGTTCAGGCAAGATAAGAGTATTTTGCATGCCAGATGCTGAACATCTTCATATAATGGGATCTCCTAAATATTAGCACCACTCTGTTAATATAAACTTGCTCATTTCCCATGGGTTGGTCAAAAAAATTACTGCTTTGAACTGTTGATACGGTAACATTGCCTCCTTTCTGCCTGAAGGGACTAATTAAAGAGTAAGGCATAAAGAACATGAAATAGGTCAGGCCAGTGGATTACATTAATTTCTTCCTAATAGATTTCCAGTTTTTTATGACTTAAGGTGTAGGAGACTTCTAGCAAGGTTCTGTTTGGAGCCCACCAAATTACCTTTTTCATCCTTTAACTTGCCTTAATAAAAGCATGATTTGCTGTTGCCTGCTACCTTCCTGCATTTGCTCTTTTCTGTTATTTCCTGGTCTTCATTTCTGTTGTTTTCTGCTCTGTGCTTTGTTGCTTTAATTCTTAAGGTTTTAAGTGCATGGCTGTCTTAGTTTTTAGCATGTATTGATCCGCAGGCTAATGTGGTTAAAATTTTCCATTGCCCTAACAACTGACTTTGCTGCGTGGCACTTTGGGCAGAACCTTTGTCTCAGTTTTGAAAAGGAAAAATGTAATCCCTCACCTTCCAGATATCTTTAGGAATAGCAAGCTTGCTGGGATTCCAGCAATATATATATAATATTACTGTGGCCTGTTAGGAAACTGCCTTATGTCCATTGCTCCATCTAATTGAAGATTGATTGCACTGACCAGCAGTAATTTTTAGGGTATTTTAATTAGGAGTCTGCTAGAGATTGAACTTGGTAGCTTATACAAGAAGTGTTGTTGTTACTTCATAGACCAAAGATGCAGCAGTAGAGAGCTGTACAGCTAAAGGAATTGCTGAAATGAAAAGTAGTTAGTTACATAAAAGTTAGTTACATAAAAGGTGGACTGCGGTCCTTAATTTGGTGTATTTCTTTCTCTTGGATTTGTTAGCAGTAGCTCTCAGAGCACAGTTATAATTTGTTGGTATTATTTTCCTGGTGTTGTATACAATTACACCGGTGGAAAACTCCATCAGCTGTCCTTTATAATTCTAGGATCAGCTTGGAACCATTGTCTTCTGTCCTATTGCCTTATAGGGTGTTGTTCAGCTTCAGCTAGGGTAGACTTACACTGTTTCCTAAGTGTCGATACCTTCACTGTTTTGCAAACCTTAGCTGAAATTCCTGTGGCAGCAAATATGCAAGTGAACTTAATAAGTCAGTTGCCTTGTATTATAATGACATAAATGGTTTTGACAGAAAAGCTGCATTTCCTATGACCAGTTTTTAGAATCAGTTGGCCCATTGACAATATACTCTGCAAAGATGCATCCACCATGTGCTTAATATTTCCATTCTGCCACCAGACATGTTATCTGAATATAGGCAGTAGGTAAAATGGGTAGTTTGATATCCTATATCAGGTTTTATAAGTGGGGGTGGATCAGTGTGTTCTGGTTGAGTAGGGTTGACATTTTTGTGAATCTCTTACTATTTTATGGTGATACTGTTTACTTACCATTTTGTGCACTGCACCTAACCAAGATTTAATTTTTCCTTTGAAGTTGCAGGAATGAATTCAAACAGCATTCCTATAAAATAAAGTAGAAGCCAAATAGTTCCTTTTCCCACCCCCACCCTTAAACATTTTTTATAAAATCTGTAATCCACAACCTGCAGGTTATACAACCAGTTATTCTTGTTAATTTGAATGATATTTCTGTTTATCTTTCCTTTTCTTCATTCCTCACTGTTATTCTTCCGCTCACTCTCTTTCTCTCTCTTCTTTTTTTTTCCTACGTGACATTGATTTTTTTTTTCAAATGGTGTGGTTCTAAACAGAATCAAACAGGCCTGGTAGATCTTCGACTACAGTTTGTCGCAATGGTGGAGTCTCTTCAAAGACAGGCAGGGAGTCACTGAAAGAGGGCTCCAGAATCAGTCTTTCAGAATGTTTGGTATTAACTGAGAAAGTATCTGTCATGTTTTTATAGGAGAAAGTAAACAGTGCAGAATAAATTCACTTGATGCTTGGAGAACATGGAACTTTAAAAAAAATCTAATTGCCTAAATGGGACAAAGAGCAAATTCCTCTAGTTAGCAGAAAGACAGATTCCTTGCAGCATTTATTGTCCAGAGGCAACCAGCACCAATGTCATAAGTGCAGTGGGTGTGGTTAAAGCAGGGCAGCACAGCTTGGTGATGGCTTTCTAGTTTCGGACTACTTTTTAAATTTTCCACTAGCTTCTTTGCCCTTTATTCACAGAACACTCTCTCCCTATTTCTAGGAGAAAAAAAAAGTGCGTTCGCTACATACAAGGTGAAGGCAGCTGCGTCAGCCCACCCTCTTCAGATGGAAGCCTACTAGACTCTCCTCCGTCTTCTCCCAACATGCTAGCCTCCCCCACAAGAGACTCAAAACCACAGACTGAACAAACCCAACCTCTCTCACTCACATTGAAACCCGACCCACTGGCACACCTCTCCATGATGCCACCACCACCATCCTCTCTAGTCCTGACCGAAAGCTCCACTAGCAAACCCGGTGGTCTGCCTGCTAGTAATTGTCAGAATGGGGCACTGGACCATCCGTCTGCCTCTTTACAGCAGTCAGCACCCTCTTCCTCTTCATTAGCACAACCGTCAACATCCTCTTTGCATTCCCACAATTCTTTGACTGGGACACAGCCTCAGCCACTGTCACTCGTAACCAAGTCGTTAGAATAGCTTTAGCCTTGTGTAGCCCTTTTAATTTGTATTTTGTGTGTGTGTGTTGATTTTTTTTTCACTTTTGTTTGTATTTTTTTAAAAATTGGTGCCATATGGCTGGCTACATTAGTTGATGTCTATCGAGTTCATTGGTCAATATTTGACCCATTGTTATTTCATTTTTTTCCTTTTTAAATATGTAGATTGAGAAAAAAAGCCTCATGATTCTGCCAAAATTTTTATCAACAGCTGTTTAAAGTCTTTGTAGCGTTTAAAATATTATATATATATATAAATATATATATATATACATAACTGTTATGTAGTTCCAATAGCTTAGTTTCAAAGACTGATTTTAAAAATGAAAAAGAAGCAATTTTGAAGCAGCCCTTGCTGAAGGCGTTGGTTCTTTATTATTTGTATTAAATACGAGCTTGCGAACCAATCATTTTACATCTGGTTTTTAAAACTTTTTAAGGGCACAATGAATGCAGTGCCGCTAATTTTTTTTCCTTTTTTTTCCTTTGTGTGATATAACTTTTCTTGTGATGTTACTTGTTATTGTTTAAATGTACAGAAACAAAGGGTTAAAATGTGTTAATATACCTTGTTCCATGGTGTTGTTCTTTTTTGGGGGAGGGAACGCTACTCAACAATTAAAAAGTATCACAACGCTATTGGACCAGTAGTATTTATTGCTTTAGAGATTGCTTGTTGTACCTGTATGTTGTCCTTTAAAAAAATGTTTTCCTTTTTCTTTCTTGAAACGTTGTGTAAAGTTTTTTTCCCCCCTTAGTGTAAGCATCATATATAAATATATATATATAACAACTCATTTGTACAAGGTTTTTAAGTTTATATATAAATGTGTATATATATATTTTTGTTGGTTTCTTTTGTTTGTTTTAATTTCATTCTTTTTTTCCTCTGTCACATAGTTGCCACCAAATGGACATTTGCAGATGGATCAATATTGTAAAAAAAAATGCTTTAAAAGCCATTACATGAAATAAGACTTGAAAATTTAGCACAGGACTTTTTAGCAATGCTGTTGGAAAAGCAGCACTGTATCCCATTCAGAACTGCAGATGACGTTCCCTGCCACTTGTCGGCTGCGAGCAAAACTTTTATGTGCCAAAATTCTCAGTGATTTTCTCTTTTCCCTACACCTTTTTTATGCTGTATTTTTTTGTTCATCCTGTTTTGCTGTGATGTTACATAGGTAGATATGTATGTAGTTTTTAATGTCACCTATTACAGACGTGTTTGGTAGCAGAATGTCCAGAAAGCATTTAAAGATGAAGAGGTATAAACCCTAAAGGGCCAAATTCTGTATATTAGATTATTCATAAAAGGAAAAATCAGACTGCCACTTTTATGTACACTTACGACATACAGGTAGGTAGCAAACTTTAAAAAAATCCTAGGCATGTTGATGTTGCAATTTTTTAAAAAAATAAAATAAAAGATAAAACACTGTATAAAGCTGAAAAAACGTTCATCTGTTCATCCAGTGCCATTGTAGTTGACATGAAGCGATTGTAAAACTGTCTCCAGTTTTCTTCTCTGGTTTATTAAGATGCTAACTATGACATTTTTTTTGTGAATCCTTTGAATGTTTCCTAACAGTTGTGATGTTACTGTTCTGTTTTATTGCTCTTATTCCGATTTTTCATTTCTAATGGTTTGGAAGCCATTTTTGTAATGAATAAATGTCCATGCTGTACAGTATCTGTAGCATGCAGTTCTGGATTAATAAAAGCAACTTAGTATGTGCAGATAAAGACTTGCAGCTCATTTACCTACAGGCTTTATTTAATCCCCTCAACCATCTCCTTTGACCCTCACAGCTAAGGAGGCTTTCAACATGCTGCCTTTTGCATCTGTCTCATATATTTACCATATTTGTTCATAGCTTGCTGAATAAACTGTCAAAGATACTAGTTTAGTTCAGTTGGTTTCAATTTCTTGACCTTCTAACCCTGAGGATTTTCTAAAATTGTTCAAATGAAAATAATATGTGCCTGTCCCAGTAGACTGTGTTTATGAACAGAGACAGGCAATTGACTATGGCTCAGCAAAAGTGAACAATCTGAACTGATTTCAACTTCAAGTTCTTAAGTTTTTAGCCTAGAGTATGCATGGGGTCATTCAACATTTGAAAAGAACAAATTTTCTACTCTTAAGCTAGACATAGGAAACATGGAGTGCACCAGTTATATCTGGACGTCAGGTTAGACTCCCAACTCCCATGGATTGTTGGAACTATAGTTCAAAAATTTTGGACAATGTTCTTTTGCTTACCTCTGCTTTTAAAAGATCAGAAGAGGGTGCATCACAGCTCTCAAAAAGCAACTAAAAGAGAATGCATATGCATACTTCTGCTTTCCACAGCTTCTTTCACTGTGCAAAATCAGAAGAAACTTCCCAACTCCTCAGTTGGAAAATCTATAGCTTCTCAGGGATGGGTAGTGTTTAGCTTTCTAATGTAGTGTACATGTGTTCCCTTTTTGCACCACACAAAGATCAGCAGGAAAAGGAGTAAATAAGAGTACATTAAGCCATTTTCCAGCAATTCTTGAAAAGTTTGAACAATGTTGCAAGAAGTCCTTTAGGAGCCTTTCTTTCTTTTGGAATTTGGCTAGCTTTCTTTTCAGCCCTAGTTCTGCTCCTGCCTCTCAAGAAGTCCTGTTGTCCAGAGGAACAAAACAAACCTGGAAGAGTGAGTGACTACTTCCCATCTTTGATCCTTAGTTTGAAGAAAAGAAGATTTCAAGAATCATGCTAATATTGTTCATTCTGTGTTCAACAGTTAGTGTAATCATACATCTTTCTGTAGCTGTTGAATGAAGTCATTAGCTGCCCATGATAATAAAACGCTACGGAAATTTTCAGAATTACATAAATTCAGCTTCCAGTTTTGTGCATCTTTGTTCTGGTATACATTTGTCATCAGAGAAGACTATAGTGTAAGTCATTTCCAAGAGCTTTCCAACTCCCAAGTACCACAAAACAGTATAAATTCTATCAATATATGGATCATTCATTTATTCTATCATTGGCTTATTCTATCACTGTACAGGTCATTTACTGTGTTTTTAATTCAGTTTGGATACTGCATATGCATTTCATGATTTCTCAATGAAGAGAATTCTCTATACCTTTTTAAGGATTTGTAGCCAACATTCCACTTACCTAAGAAAATATGTTCTATTTGCAATATTAGAGATACTGTGTTAAAAGAAATGGAAGGAAGAAAACATCCACAAATCTCTTGCCAGAGGAAAAATTTAAGTTTTGGAGGAAGTAAAGCCTTTTCTTGCTGAAGTTTATAATGTTGTACATGTCTACTTAAAAGTAAATGCCACTGAATTTAGTAGGACTTCCAGGTAGGTATGTATGGCATTAGTCCACTATTTCAAATCAATATAGTATATTTGTTCTGCAACACTAGATAAACTGGAAGAATACAATTATAATCATCACTTACCTTTAGATTTTTCTAGTAAGAAATTACAGAAATCTACAAGCAAGTACGATCACACCCCCTATTTTCTACTGTTCTAGATGACTAGGTTAAGAAATGAAGCTAAAGCATAAAAAAGATGAACTTTACTAAAATTCTTAAAAATGCTAACTAATTGGACACATGTGGATACCTATTTTTTCCTTCAGTTCAAATGATCTTATATACTTGATTCTAATTTTGCTAACCATGGGAAAGCAAGGGCACTGAAGCTCCTGCACCCTAAACACTAAAACTTCAGTTATTTCCTCACACCCACACACACGTGTGGGTGTGAGGCTAAGAACCTTGGCTAAGAACCAAGGTTTAAAAGGCTAAGAACCTTGATTGTTAAGACCAAATGACATTCTCTGGATTCTGATGCATGCACAGCCTTGCATTCATGGGAACAAAACTAAAGCAGTGAATATCTATGCTGTTTGTTTTTATGCTTGTATTCCGTTGGTTGCTGGTAGATTCAGGATAGGCTTTTGATCTGATCTAGCTAGTTGGACCGTGTAGGCTTTTGGTCTGATCTGGCAAGCCTTTTCTGGTTCTTAGGTCAAACACACAAGTGGCAGAATCTTTTCACAGTTCTTGGAAGTGCTGCAAGCTCTGTCAAGAAGCTAGGCAAACAACTTTATCTTCTGTGGAGCCTTTGCTGGTTCCCTAGCCTACTGTCCCAGCTCTTTATTTTCTTTAGCTCTTCCCCTTTTCTGTTCCAAACACCTATTTGCTCAGAGTATTGCTTTCAAGATTATTGTATTGTCTCCAATTCTCTTAATCACCTCTGTAGTTCTTTGCTTACCATGCAGTGCCAACTTCCAGTGAGGTGCCTCCAGAGACCTCTTCAAACCCATTTCCTGTGCTGTTTTCTTACACCTCGTGTACCTACCCTTTCTTCAGGTTTCTGTTTTTCAGTTTATTGATTATTCTGCACCACTCATCCTTTAGATTATTTTCTTTCAGAAACTTCCCAGTCTTCATCCTGCCCTTCCTCTCTTGCTAGTTCTTTGTTAGATTTTAGTCTTAGACAAAATGGCAACTTCTCCTTTCTTTAAAGAATCTAGATTGTAAAATTTGTTCCTGGAAGGTTTATGAAAAATATGCCATAACACCAAACCAGCCAATCTGTTATTTTTCACTGCCACAGGGATACGGCATCATGTGACCGGGAGTTGAGGGGATCCAAACTAGAGAAATCCGAAATTCCTCCACTCCTACTTCATTCCTCTCCATCCTAGAGATCACCCCAAATATTTCAAATCTATAATTTTCATTCTGTTAAAGTGCCTGTTTCCTCCACACAAATACAAATACTAGAATTATTAAATCAGAATGTACACCTCTTTCTTAGATAATTTTCAATAAATCTATGCCTTAGTTACTGTGTTCTTTTTCAAAAGCCAGATGCACAGAGGTTAATTTGTGCTCGGTTGTCAGACACCAGTTGCAGAACAGTCAATTTAAAAGTAATAAAAAAACGGAAAGTGACTACCCCCAAAACTCCCCCCAAGGCTGCACTTTATCAAGTTACTAGAGAAAGGAGACATATTGGCTCCCCAATTTAAGTGGTTCTCTTTTGGAAGACTTGCTGCAGGTACTGTAGGCCTCTGAGAGTTGTAAAAGAATTGCACATCTGAATTAACTGTTCCACTATACGGGTGCACACATTTCACTTCCATTTACTTCTCGGCCTTTAAATTGACATGTATTCCCAACCAAAGGAATTGCACAGATACTCTCAAAAACCAAAAAGAAGTAAGACGAAAAACTTTATAGAGATAGCAAACAGACAAAGCAAATGGGATGTCATTAGTAGTTGAACTTACAACTATCCTTCCATTTATTCCATCCTATTTAACTGCCTTCCCACAGCTTGTTGACAGTTGCCATTCAAGGAAATTGGCCAGCAAGACTACACACCCCAGATGGCTGTATGAGCACACTCAGAAAAGGCCAACAAAATAATAAGGATGACGATGTTGATGATAATACAAACAAAGAAATGTTTTCACCCTTTTCTGGAGCCAACAATAGCAATAATTGCTCCCAACTGCTGCTTGGACATCAGTGAAGCAGCTGTCACTGCCAGCAGCGAAGGGGCACAGGGTTCGGCCATACTTGTAGAGCAGGTCACTAGCCAATTTCTGCAACCAACAATGCAATTGCCTTCCTAGGTCTTAACAACATGACAATCCATTAGACATCAAATCACCCCAGAACAAGCCATGGTTTGTTAGGCTATCTGGTTGCATAATAAGCCACCCTACAAGAAGCAGTCAAGATTTGCAAATTACACACAATTGATTGTCATGTCATATGAATTGGGTCATTTACAGTTATGGACACAACCTGATTTTTAAAAAACATGGAAATAATTTCTCCATCATATGCTGTCAGATGTCTGAGAATAGTGGGTGGTCTTAATCTGGCACCAAATGGATGGCTGTTGGCATTAGGTGGACCTCTGTAAGGAGAATATTTCATGATCAGGAGGCCTCAGAGGTTGATTGTAGTGTTCCAGTAGGTTTGTGTTAGGAGAACTCATTTGCCCAAGCGAGTTTAAGGCCTTATGAGTAGAAAACAGCACATTGGCTCAGTCTTGGAAATAAAAGACAGCCAATGCAAGAGGACCAGAATTGGTGTTATATGCTCAGAACATCTGCTCTGCAGCTTCTGAACAGACTTCAAGGGCAGCCCCACATAAAATGCAGTAATCTGCCCTGGAGGTTATCGGAGCATAGACCACTGAAGCGATTTATCCTTGTGCAGATAAGGTCATAGCTTGGTCACCATCTGACCCAGGCAGAAGGTACTCCAGGCCATTGAGATCACTTCATGTGACAAAAATAGCTCCATGAGGATCCCCAAGCGACATATTTGTTCCTTCAGGGAGAGTGCAACCCCTTCCAGAGCAGAATGAACACACTCCATCTGGTCAGCACTAACAACATCTCAGTCCTGCCTGGACTGAGCCTCGATTTATTAGCCCTCATCCAGTCAATTATCACAGTGATCTAACATGTACACAGCCTTTCCCAATAAAGATGAAAAGGAGCAGAGACACATATAAGCAGTCCAAAATTCCAGATGCCTGCACTCAAAGGTTTCATGTGGATGTTAACTAACACGAGGGATGACACTTTAAAAAAAAATAAATACAAAGAATACTATCTTCTTTAACAGGGGAGCTGAAATATTCTGTGAGACACTGAGGAAAGCAGTTCAGAGGAAAACCAGCAGAGAATTGCCAATAGCCATTTTGAGAGC